CCCATGGAAGGACCTGGAGCAGTTCCTGAGGGACTGACCCATGGGAAGGGGCCCACACTGGAGCAGTTGCCGTGGGCCATTCCAGGCGCTCTCAGTTCCCCCGATCCTGTGCTCCCACAATCCCATGCTCCCACAATCCCATGCTCCCACAATCCCATGTCCCACAATCCCACGCTCCCCCGATCCCGTACCATCTCCTCGTCCTCAGCCAGCACCAGGTCGTAGTCGCTGAGGGCCACGCAGAAGATGATGGCCGTGACGCCCTCGAAGCAGTGGATCCACTTCTTCCGCTCCGATCTCTGCCCGCCCACGTCGAACATCCTGGGAAAGGCAGGAGAACCAGCTCAGCCCCCCCGCCCCCGGCATTCCCGGGGGGAATTCGGGGACAGCGAGGCCCGGCTTCCCCTGGGACAGGGGAGGGGAAATTCCCTTTGCAGCACAGGGGACGTGGAAGCAGAATTCCCTGTTTTGTTCAACAGGATGCAGGGAATGGCTTCCTGCTGCGGGAGGGTTGGATGGGATATCGGAATACTGGGAAGGAATCCTTCCCTGGGAGGGTGGGGAGGGGCTGAGATGGAATTCCCAGAGGATGCCCCATCCCTGGAAGTGTCCAAGGCCAGGTTGGAGCAGCCTGGGATAGTGGGAGGTGTCCCTGCCCATGGATGGGATTGAAGGTCCCTTCCCACCCAAACCATCCTGGGATTCCAAGATTCTGGAGCCAGGCCGGGAGAGTTGGGAATGTTCCCCTGGAGAAGAGAAGGCTCCAGGGAGACCTTGGAGCCCCTTGCAGGGCCTAAAGGGGCTCCAGGAGAGCTGGAGAGGGACTGGGGACAAGGGATGGAGGGACAGGATACAGGGAATGGCGTCCCACTGCCAGGGGTTAGATGGGATATTGGGAAAGAATCCTTCCCTGGGAGGGTGGGGAGGGGCTGGGATGGAATTCCCAGAGGATGCCCCATCCCTGGAAGTGTCCAAGGCCAGGCTGGATAACCTTGGAGTGCCCTGGGACAGCGGGAGGTGTCCCTGCCCACAGCACTGGATGGGCTTTAATTCGTCTTCCCACCCAAACCACTCCCGGATCCTCTGGAGCAGTTCCGAGCTGGAATCACCCCCCAGAGCTCCTGATCCCCCAGGGAACGTGGATTTTGTTCCCTCTCCTGTTTCCTCGGCAACAACCCCTTGGTTTGTCCGGGATCCCCAAAGCTCCTCCCAGGGATTGGAATGAGTGGGAATGTGGTCCCTGGGAGCTCCTGCCGGGAGCCGGGGTGGGATTCCCAGGATTAAGGAAGTGGCTCATGCCTGGAAATCCAACACGAGCTTTCCAGGCTGGAGCTGCCCTGGGAATTCTGGCAGAAATGGAGTTGATTCCTCATTAAAAGACAAGTGTCCTGGGAGATTCCAACCCCCTGATCTCCCAGATATTCTGAGGAGAGCCCAGGCTGGAATGGGAATTAATTAATTCAGGTGAATGCGTCGTTACAGAGTCCTGACGATGGATTTGTTCCATAGGGAGCTGCCCAGGGTGGGATCCCAGGATGCCAAGGCAGGTCCCACCTTCCCTGTCCCACAAACCCCCTGGGCTGGAGGGAAGGTGGGAATTTCAGAGATTCCAGGGGATTCTCCAGGATCCGTGACAGAGGAGAACTCGGCCCATCCGAATTCCAGCCCCTGGGCTCCCTCATTCATGGAACGTCAAGCAGAATTCCAGGGTTTCCCATGGAAAACATTCCCTCTGGGATGTGCCTGGGGCCCTGCACGTGATCCAGGGTGGGATTGGGAAGGATCCTCTTCCCTCCCTTCTGAAGGAGGGCGGGAGGAGCCTCCAGCCCCGCGGGGTTTGGAAGCACCGGGAGCGGTGGAGACGCTCCTGCTGATCCATCCCCACGGGATTCCCTGGATGGAATCCAAGAGCTGCAGAGACCCCCCGGAGATGGGAAGGATTTGGGCATCTCCGGGTGAAACTCCGAAGGCAAAACGCTGCTGTTCTCCCAGAAAACTGCATGGAAGGTCCATGCTCCAGGGGATCCAAGGACTGGAGCTGGGAATGTTCCCCTGGAGAAGAGAAGGCTCCAGGGAGACCTTGGAGCCCCTTCCAGAGCCTAAAGGGGCTCCAAGAGAGCTGGAGAGGGACTGGGGACAAGGGATGGAGGGACAGGACACAGGGAATGGCTTCCCACTGCCAGAGGTGGGGATAGAGGGGATATTGGGAGGGAATTCCTCCCTGGGAGGGACTGGAATGGAATTCCCAGAGGATGTCCCATCCCTGGAAGTGTCCAAGCCCAGGCTGGATAAACTTGGAGAGACCTGGGACAGTGGGAGGTGTCCCTGCCCATGGCACTGGATGGGCTTTAAGGTCCTTCCCACCCCAAACCAGCCCGGAATTCCACGAAAACCCTGGGATTTTCCACCCAACCCTTCCAAACACAAGCTCTACAGAAGCCACCAGACACGTTTTTAGGGATGTGAGCGGGAAAGGCTCCAAACTGTCGGCACAAACAGGGAAAACTGGGCTGTCCTACATCCACAAACACCATGGGAATTCCCACAGGATCCCCTGGGATCCCAAGCAAGGAATTCCTAAGCAGCAGGAAGGTGGGAAAGAGGGATTGAACCTCAGCTCCAGGGTTTAGAGGGAATTAGCGCCACAGGAAGGAGCAGGAGGGATCCCGAGCCTGGATCTGGGTCAGGAAGAGGGGACAGGAGAGTCCCATCCAGGCCGGAATTCCCAGAGAACACACGGAGCACCACGGGAGGGGATACACTCAGTGCCCTCTGAGTGCGATTTTTTGGGATTGGGGCCTGGAAAAGGAGCAGTCAGGTACCTGTGTGGGTGTGATCCCGAGAGAAAAGCAGCTGGAAAGAACAGAAGAAGGGAAATCAAATCCAACCCTTCCCAGGGAAGGACAGTGGAACCGGGATCAGGGACCATCCAGGGATTTCCCAGCCCTCCGGAACACAGGGATGGGCTGGGAGTGTCACTCCCTGGAAACACAGCTCCAATTCCCGTGGGTTTTCCCCCAGGGAAGGACATGAAACCAGGATCAGGGACTATCCAGGGATCTCCCACCACTCTGGGCTGGGATTGTCTCTCCCTGGAAATCCAGGTCCTTGAAGGTGAAACGAGTCTCCACAATTCCCGTGGTTTTCTCCCCAGGGAAGGACAGTTTAACCAGGATCAGGGACTATCCAGGGATTTCCCAGCCCTCTGGGACACAGGGAAGGGCTGGGACTGTCTTTGGGAATGGTTGGGACTGTCACCCCCCGGAAATCCAGCTCCAATTCCCGTGGATTTCAGCCCAGGGAAGGACATTAAACCAGGATCAGAGATTTTCCCAGGATTTCCCAGCCCTCTGGGATCCAAGGAATGCCACTCACTTGAAGTACAGGTCCTTGAAGGTGAAGTGAGTCTCCACGATTCCCGTGGTTTTCACCCTGGTCCGGAGCACGTCCTGCTGGGTGGGGATGTAGCTGTGCTGGGAGATGCGCTCCAGGTCGTTCAGGTAACTGGGACGGGAAAACAGGGATGGGTTCAGTGCCGGAATCTGGGATTGGGATGGGATTTAGTGCCGGGAATATGGGATTGAGATTGAATTTACTGCTGGGAATATGGGATTGAGATTGAATTTAGTGCTGGGAATATGGGATTGGGATCGGTTTCAGTGCTGGGAATATGGGATTAGGATCGGCTTCAACACTGGGAATCTAGGATCAGGATCAACCTCAGCGCCAGGAATCTGGGATCAGGATCGGCTTTAGTGCCGGGAATCTGGGGTTGGGATCAGTTTCAGTGCTGGGAATCTGGGATCAGCTGCACAGGAGCTGCTCCAGCCCCTCCTCCCGCACAGCCGGGGGGAATGCCGGGATTTGGGAATGCCGGGATTTGGGATGGATCTGGAGGGGAGCTGAGCTGGGGGGAGGGATGTGGAGTTGTGCCAGGCTGGGATCCCTGTGCCAGGCTGGGATCCCTGTGCCTCCCACCCAATCCCAGCCTGCTGTAGATCATTCCATGATCTGGGAATGGATTTCCCAAGGGATGCCCCATCCCTGGAAGTGCCCAAGGGCAAGTTGGATAAACTTGGAGCAACCTGGGATAGTGGAAGGCATCTCTGGAAATGGATCTGGAATTGCTCTTCCCACCCAAGCCATTCCAGGCTGAAATTCCACATCATTCCAAGCTTAAATTCCAAACCACTCCAAGCTTAAATTCCACGCCATTCCAGGCTTAAATTCCAAGCCAATCCAGGTTGAAATTCCAAGTCATTCCAGGTTGAAATTCCAAGCCATTCCAGGTTGAAATTCCAGACTATTCCAGGATGAAATTCCAGACTATTCCAGGATGAAATTCCAGACCATTCCAGACTTAAATCTCAAACCATTCCAGGCTGAAATTCCCAGCCATTCCAGGCTTTCCCCTGCGCTCCCTGCAGGCAGCCCAGCCCCTCCAGGGTATCCCGCGGGCCCCTCCTGCCCCCAATCCCAGCCCTTCCCAATCCCGGGATGTTCCTGCTCCCTTACTACGCGGCGGAGTCGTTGAGCTGGTATTCCCGGGATCTGCTGAAGCAGGCCTGCACGCCGGGATCGCTCCAGAGGCGCTGGATGAGCGCGGAGAGCTCGGCCGTCAGCGTCCCCTCCTCGGCACTGCCCGCCAGCACAAACAGCTGCCGGGCATCGTCCTGGAAAAACAGGAATGAACCGGGAATGAACTGGGAATGAACCGGGAATGAACCGGGAATGAACTGGGAATGAACCGGGAATGAACCGGGAATGAAC